ACTCTACCCCCCCCCACCGCCGCTGCACGGCTCCCTAGAAGCTAATTCTCCTCCCACCATTCAGAGGAGTTTGAGGAGTGAGGAGGAGCCCTGTCGGTCCTCTGTGTTGTCCTAAGCGATTGACTTAATCTTCCTGAGCCTATTTCTTCATCCATCCCTCAGAGGATTATTTTGAGGATTGAGTTTACAAAATCCAGCTTCCTCTAGGGGTATAGAGTTTCAATGTGAGATGAAGAAAAACTTCTGGAGCTGGATGATGGTGATGGTAGCACAACAATGTGAATGTACTTAATGCCACTGAACTGTACTCTTAAAAATGCTTAAAATGGAAAATTTCGTGTCATGCATATTTTACCACATTAAAAAAAATCTATCTAGCACATAGTTAGCACCCAGTAATGTTAGTTTTCTTCTACTTCCTTAATGTTGAATTTCTTTTCTTTATTTTACATTATTTTTTCAATAGAGAATATATTTCTATGGCTCAAAATTCATAAGTTATAAAAAGGTGTGCAATGACCAGCCTCCCTTCCATTGCTATTCAATAGCCAGTCAGTTCTCCTTTCCAGAAGAAATCAATATAACCAGTATTTGCATCTCTATGCAGAGATATTTTATGAATATTCAAGCAAATATATATTTTTTCATTCTGCTTTTTTACCTAGATGTTAGCAGCATATATCTCACACTATTCTATATCTTGCCTTTTTCATTTCTTTTTTTAAAAATATTTTTTCCTTTTATTTATTTATTTTTTAAATATTTTGTTTTTTTCCTTTTTCTCCCCAAAGACCCCTAGTACATAGTTGCATATTCTTCATTGTGGGTCCTTCTAGTTGTGGCATGTGGGACACCACCTCGGCATGGCTTGATGAGCAGTGCCATGTCCGAGCCCAGGATTTGAACCAACGAAACACTGGGCCGCCTGCAGCGGAGCGCACGAACTTAACCACTCAGCCACGGGTCCAGCCCCTCCATTTTCATTTTTTAAAAAAATCCATTTTAAAAATAATTATTTATTGGTCTCCCTGTTCTTTTTATTTAGAAACTGCTATATATCCCTCTTAATCACTTTCCAGGTCTGCGGTTGGTCTTAGAGGTTACTCTTCAAGTAATTCTTACTCAGAGGAAATCATTCATATAGATGAAATCCACCTTATATTATTATTATTTTCACCCAGTAAGACGGCTCGGGGCCGGCCCCGTGCCCAGTGGTTAAGTTCTCACGCTCTGCTTTGGTGGCCCAGGGTTTCGCTGGTTCGGATCCTGGGTGCAGACATGGCACCACTCGTCAGGTCATGCTAAGGCAGCATCCCACATGCCACAACTAGAAGGACCCACAATTAAAAAGATGTGCAACTATGTACTAGGGGGATTTGGGAAGAAAAAGCAGGAAAAACAAAAGAAGATTGGCAACAGTTGTTAGCTCAGGAGCCAATCTTTAAAAAAAAAAAACATGGAACTAGTCTGAAATCCACATATAATGTTGGGGAGAAAGTTTTGTTTCAGAGACCATCCTGCTTTTCAAATATCTCGATATTTTAGTGAGCAAAATCACTGCTCTTACTCTTCCTCCTGTCATTGTTCACTGCTGTAGAAATTATTTGGGATTCCTGAGTGCTTTATATGGTTGTCTCATGGGACTCCTACAACAACCCTGTGGTGTAGGTGGTATTATTATCTCTACTCCATAGAAGAGAACCCAGAGAAGTTGAAGAACTCGCTCAAGGCCACACATCTTATGTTGACAAAGCCTAAATTGCACCTCAGTGTCTAATTTGACCATGTTATGCTGCTTCTTGAATGGAGAATAATAAGTAAATAAAAATTCAAGGGGCCAGTTCTGTGGTTAAGTTTGGTGTGCTCTGCTTCTGCAGCCCAGGTTTGGTTCCCGGGTGTGGACTTACACCACTTGTCGGCAGCCATGCTGTAGTGTTGACCTGCATATAAAATAGAGGAAGATTGGCACAGATGTTAGCTTAGGGCAAATCTTCCTCAGCAAAAAAAAAAAAAAAGAATAAATAAAATAAAGTAAAAATAAAAATTCAAGAGGCAAAATAGTCATCAATCTCGTTGTATTGTAACCTAATTTAAATTCTAATCCCCAAAATATAGGACACTAGGATCCTGGACTCCTTCCTACCTTTTACCTCTTTAGGGTCAGAGTTTCCAAGCCTTCCCCAACATTTTTAATTGAATCCACACCTAATAATAGTTAACATGACAATCATTGACTTTAACCTGTGTGACTTTGACCTTTAAAGTAGCCTGTGTACACTTAGGCCAATTACTTAATAGCTCTCAGTTTCCTCATTTGGAAAATGAGAATAATAATAGTTCCTATTTCATAGGATACATTATAGGTTGTAATAAAAATTGACTGGTATAATATATGTAAGGCTCAAAGCATAGTGCCTGACATAATAAGAGCTCAATAAATATTAGGTTTAGTTGTTATTTTATTAATATTATCCTCCTTTAAAATCATGACTGACCAAATAGGCTGAAATTTTATCCCTTACCATGGACCTTCTCAATTTTTTCAGGATAGGGATTTAGTTGTCCTCCAATTTCTTTAAAAATTTTGAAAGCCAAAAAAAAAAAAAATTGAAAGCCGCTTCATAAATTTTAGTAGATTAACCTAGATACTATGTACGACAGGTGACGTTTTCAATATTTGTATCTAACTAAGGGGGTAGAAGTCACAGAGATAAATTTACCTACAATGAGTAAAGCTTAGAGGATGACAACTCTTTAATGCAAATCAGCTGTGAGTTTGGATGGGGGTGAGCCTGGAACCCAGGGAACTCTGTCCTCTAGTCTCATCCTCATGATCCCTGCTCCCTTTCTTTCTTCGTTTCTTTATGGATTGAGGAACGCTGCTCCTAAGGGACGTGTCTATCATGCATCTTTTGAAAAAAGTTTCATTGGGTAGTTCTTGAAACTACCTCATAGCGTAAAGCTGCAACATCCTACTTTGGTGGACATCCGAAGCATTTTTAATTTACATGAGTATAGCCACAAGGAGTCGGAAGAATCCCATTCAGGAAAACAGAAGCCATGCTCAGATCTTGAACAGAGGCAGCTTAATTCACAAAATTGGTTCTACAGGTGTGGGAAGGTTCATAGGTTTGGATCCCAGGAGCAGACCTAGCACTGCTTGTCAAGCCATGCTGTGGCAACATCCCACATAAAATACAGGAAGATTGGCACAGGTTTTAGCTCAGCAACAATCTTCATTAAGCAAAAGAGGAAGATTGGCAACAGATGTTTGCTCAGGGCCAATCTTCCTCACCAAAAAAAAGAAAAAGAAAAAAACCCCTAAGATGGTTGAGGTCTTGTTTCCCACGTTCCATCAGGAGCATCTCATGGCACTAAATATGATTCTAGAATATTTAAAAATATGTATTTTTATGTATTATGGCTCCAAATGTTAACTACTTTATCTGATGCTTTTTCTGCTGTCGTAGTGCTAGGTGTGTGGTGAGGGGGTAACTGGTTGCTGTGGATTTAGAGTAAAGTTGTGTGTCATCTAAAAAGTCAAAGGTAATGTTCACAGTAATTTTGTTCCTTAAAATTACAAACTAAGTAATACATGCATACAGTATTATTGTCAAGGATTCCTACAATATAAAACTATTCAGAACACAGTGTGAAATTCCCCCTTCTTTCTGCCTCTAACTCCTATTCCTCTCCCCAGAGGTGGCCACTGGCAGCAGTGAGTTCCGCCATCTTTTAGTCTTTCGAGAGTAATTTCAGCTACAGGGGAGTTTCACATACCAGCTTCAGACCAGAAACCCTCCACCTTGAGATGTCAGATCGTGACTTCCGTCTAGTATCATTTAACTCAAGTTGCAAAACAATGTAAACGAGCTTTCAGCTTAATCTTTCACTTTATGTGA